ACTTCGTTGCTCCTTTCTGTGCTTGAAGCCCGAGTGGATGGGGATGATTTGTGTCACTGTGGATGCCCCTGCAGGGACAGGGAGGCTGAGGAAGAGCCACAGGCACCTCACAGTGGCTACCTGGGAAGCAGCTTCCTAATGAGTGGTGCTGCTGTGCAGAAGTGGAACAAAGATCTAATGAGACCCCAAAGGAGTTGGAGCAGCCGCAGTTTTCCTTGGAGCACCATTTTAAACTTTTCTGAGGAACAAGCCGAAGTTATTGCTTAGTGGGTTTTTAACCCTGTTCTTTGTCATGCTGCTGTAGCTTTTAACTGGTCAATTCTTCTTTATTTACAGCCTTTCAGGTGTATTAGGTGCACTTGTGTTTCTTTCAGAAGAATGCTGCCACTGCTGGCTCTGTGATATTCAATATTTCCTCTGTGTTTTGTTTCTTCAAAGCCTTCCCAATCTCTAACATTAAATTACTCAGATATCTTACTCTCTGGATTTGGCTGTTGAATCAGAGTTAACTACTTCCTACAAGTGACAAAAATCCCTTCTAAATTCATATCTGAAGCTGGCACCATATCTATGTCAGTGGAACTAATAACAGATAAAAGCTTGATTTTAGGAAATAATTTGTGTTTGGCTCTGGCATGGGACAAGTCTGTCCTTGCCTTGATACTTGATTATACCTATAGCACTTCTGAGTTGGATTCATCTCAATAGAGACAGATCCAAGTGAACTGGGCTGTCTTGGTAATGTCTGGAGATTATCTGGTATCAGGGAAAGACTGGTTCAATAAATTCTGTGCAAGTGGCTTTGTTCTCATTCTTTTGGATTTTCAAAAGCCTGTGATTGTAGCATTTTTCTGATTATTGGAGTTTTTTTATTGTTGAACATGGAGAGGTAAGTGTGTAGTGACCAATGCCAAGCTGGAATATTTTCACCATGGCACTGGTTCCTGTCAGAGTAGGGACTGTAAGAGGCAGAGGGTTGATTCACTGATGTGGGAGATTAACATTCTACCCTGTAGGTATTCCTCATGGAAACCATTATGTTGGGTAATTTTTCACAGCTATTAATTTGGTTTTGAGAGAAATTAGAAATGGATATCCCTCTTCCAAGAAAAAAAAAAAGAAAAAAAAAAATCTACTGGAAGTTGGGTTGGGATGTTCCACAGTTTATCAGGTGAAGCCCTGGCACAGGTTGCCCAGAGAAGCTGTGGCTACCCCATCCCTGGAAGTGTCCAAGGCCAGGTTGGAGTATCCTGGGCTGGTGGAAGGTGTCCATGCCCATGGCAGGGGGTGGAATCAGATGATATTTTAAGTCCCTTCCAACCCAAACCATTCTGTGATTTTTAGATTCTGTGAGATTCTAATAATTCCCACCCTCAGCAAAGATACACTGACCTCTAGTGTCAGCACATCAGTTGATTTTTTTTCTTTTTCCTGTGCTGTGGTTTGGGATCAATACTGAAAAATAGGTTCTAGATCTCTTTAGCTCAACTAAGTTCCAGGAGTTCCTGATTAATTTAGTCTCAGTGACTCTACAAATTCCTCTAGCTCAAGCTCCAAGTTTAATATGAACCTGTCAGCCAGATCTGACAAGTTCCATTTCTATATATAGAAATAAAAATTCCACCTTTGGGGAATTGCTGCTTTTTACACTTGACTCTGGGTAGTAAAAATTAAGGTCACTGAATAAAATTACTCACTCTTGAACCTTTCCCAAACTTTTTATTACTTTCAGACATTCTTGCACATCACTTGCTGTATTATATGGTCTGTGTGTGAGTGCATAGGTTTTAGAAGGCTAATGCTGAAGGAAGAAAAATCAAGTTGAATTTTTTTATATGTATGTGCTCCCATCCTACTTAATTTGTTTGGCTGGTGGATTGATTTGGGTTTTTTTTAATGCATCTGCAGTTGTTTTCTTCAATGGACTTTTTGGAGGAACTCATGAGAATTTACTTATCTCTGCAAGCTAAAGAAATATATAATAAAGAAATAAAATCTGGTATTTTTTCCTGGTGTGTTTGCACCACTTCACAGGTTGGCTTTCTGACTGCTTTGAAATAGCTGTGGCTTCTGAAACCACAGCATTATCTAACAGTGGGAAACTTTCTAATTTAAAAATATATTTATATTTCCTTTTAAATATTCTGTGGGTGTTATTCCCTTTGTTTCTCTCCTATCTTTTCCAGGCACAGCAGGTGCTGCTTCTCTTTATCCTTTCTGACTTTTGCATACAAAGTGCTGAATCCAAGTCCAGTTATTTCCAAAAGCACCAAAGGGATGCTGTGGATCTGCCCCTTTCTTTCTGCAAAGGGGGGGGGAGCAAGACAATCCTTTTATTATTTTTTATTAACATAACATTGCTCTTCATTTGTAAGATGTGACGTTTTGGAAGCAAAATCGAGAGGAAAAGGGTTGGGATTTTTTTTTTTTCCTCTACTTTTCCTCTGCTCTTTCTGAATGTGGATGACCTAAAACATGACCAGGGTTATGCAGGAGCTTTGAAGGTGATGAAGATGCTGATTGTTGTCACCAGATTTCGAATCCCTGCATTGGCAGTGAATCTCTCTTATGCAAGTTATTTCCTCGTGCTGCATTATCAGAACATGTATATTTTGACAAGTAATTTTGTAATGTAATGGGGTTTTGGTTGTTACCTCTGATGAGGATCTAATTTTTGGATTAATACAATAAGAGAAGGTTGCAGTGAAGCTGAGCAGCAGTGGTGTTTAATACTTGGTTTTTATTTGGGGAGGGAGCAATTTCCAAGCAAGAACCTTTCTCCAGTGCCAAAAATTGACCAAGGGTCTACAAACAACCTGATACCCCCAACTTGGCCTTGGTGCTGAAGTCAGGGAGAAAACCTACTCTTGGCTTCTTTATTTTTCTCTTGCTCATCAGTGAACTGAGGAGAGACTTCAGTGAGTTTATACTTTGGTGTTCAGTGGGTGTGCCTATGGATTTGCATCTCTTTAAAGAACCAGTGTGTTGTGGAGCATAAAGATACCTTTATCTGGCTTAAAGCTGTGAATTTGAACACTGCTAAGTGTCATGCTTTAAAAATGAAATGTTGGTATTCAGGAATAGATCCTAGATTAGCAAAATCTTACAGAACAGAGTGAAAATGAAGTGTTTAAAGTCATTTAAATCTTACAAGGTTAGCTGCTAACTACCATTCTCTCTTTTAGATATTAAAATTTATTAAAATACAATGCAGCCAGAGGTTGGGATGTATTTTTATGATTTTATACCCACAAAGCTTTTCAATTTTTTAGGGTTTTTTTAGCTTCTACCAAAGCAGGTTTTTTCTGGCCTGAAATGGATCTATCACGTTCTGCTTTGCCCAGAGCACTTAAAGAACAAAACGAAATTAATTTAGCTTCTCCATTTTTTTTTTTCCCCTTTCCTTGCAAGAAATCTGACACATAAGAATGACCTACTTTAATATTCCTGCATCACCTCCTCCCTTTTTCCCTTCCTGCCCTTCTGGCTTGTCCTCACCGCTCAGGGCAAACAGCTGCAGCTGGAAAATCTCAGTTCCATGGGCTTGGGATGGTGATGCTCCTGCAGGATTTGGCACTGCAGCCCAAACTGAGGGTGTCCTGGGATGCTGCAGTGCCTGGGTTGTGTGTGGATGGATGTTTGGATGATCCTTCTTCTGGATGCCCATGGATGACATTCCCTTGGGGAAGGCTTTGCAGATGGCCCTTGGAAACTCGGGACAGGGAATGGCCAACTCCCAAGTGTTTGGTTTCAACAAGAAGTTTTTGGGTTTTGTGTTATTTGTGTGTGGTTTTTTTTTTTGGTTGTTTTGGTTTCCTTTTGGGTTTGTGTTTTGTGGGTTTGATTTGCTAAGGGAAAAAAACAAACTCAAACAAAAGCCAAAGAAAAGTTTGGACAACCCTGTCAGGCTCGTGGTGTGACTCTTGGGGATGGTCCTGGGCCATGTGATGTGTTTGGAGGAGATTAAGTTCTGGCAAATCATGATTTGGGAATGTATCATAGCAGACACTCTGTATGAACTCTTCTTTTTTTTGAGGTGCTTAGCTTGAAATTCAAACACCTGATTTACAGAAATATCAAAAACTTAGCTCTAATGTAAAAGGCAGTTCACATGGAAACATCAAGTTCAGACATCTCAGACTTGGCTCCTCAGAGCTAATAGTTGCTTTCTTGACCTTAATATTTCTGTGCACTGATCTGTAGACTAATTCCAGAAGGAATCATTTAATCTACTCTGTGTACTGCCCATCTCCCCTTCCTCTGCAGAGAGAGGATGCTGTGGAAGTGACACAGAAAGAATGTAGAGGCCACAGTTGTCATACAGCTAAAGAAAAGCTACTGTGAAGCTTTTTTAGGAAAAAAAACCCACAAGTGAAATAACAATGTCATACCCAGGCCAGTAGACCTTGGCACAGGGTTAATCATTTGGCCATTGACAGAGGGAGAAGTGGCAGCAGATTAGTTCATTGCCCGTCATTGCACCTGATCCTGATGTCTGAAGAAGAATTAAAACCAAATCAGTGAGCTCATCACACTCAAGTGCATCAAAAAAAAGGATGGGTTAGACATGGCCTTAATTAAATCAGTTCCTGCACATGTTGTGTGGTTGCCAGCACAGTGTGTACGAGGCCAGTGCAGCACAAGCTGCTCTCTAACAAGTGTGTTGAGCTGCTGGTTGTGTCTGATTGCACCTCGTACTCTCTGTCCCTTTAAACCCACTGTATCTTACAAATAAATGAGTGCTGGAGCTTGGTGGGAAGTAGGAGCTGCAAAATCAACTTACCTGTCAGCTCTGCTCCTGCTGGAATATGTAACTTCTAACACCTTGTATACCTAAGTGTGATGTATCTGTGTACCCTTCTGCTGGGGATTAAGTCATAGGGAAAAAAAGAGGAACATTAAAGGATCTGTCAACTTTGTGTTTATTTAGAACCATTAACGAGGAAGCCAAGTTCCTAAAGATCATCCAGGGATTCAGTTTTGTGCTTTTCTTTCAACAGGTTAAACCTTGCCACCTGAAAGACTAAACCCACAGCTTCCCTGAGAGAACCAGAGTCACTGAATTTAGGAGGCTGAAGATGATGCTGCTGCTGTGGAAACAGCTGCTCCTGGTATCGTTTGTTGGCTGCCTTGGAGGTAACAATCATCTCTAACTTCTGTTTCAGAAGTAGGCGTAAGTTCCCAGATTCCAGATCTGCACTTGAGGAGTAGAACCACGGAGGCTTTGAAATGCAAATGTTATGTAGAGTTTAGAAACCAAGCATGCAATAGGTACCTTAAATAATACAAAATATTAAGTGAGTGAACTGAAGTTACTGCATCAGGATGTGCTTTCAGGGCAAGCAGAAGATATTCAAATGCATTAAAGATGTTCTTGGTAGTACTGACTTAAGAGCTGCAATATGTGTTTGTCTGTAGCTGGAAACTTCAGATTCTTGCTGTAGCTGGAAGGATTCCTGCAGCTTCTGTCAAAACTTTGTTTGCTTTGGAACAGGATTTATTCCTGAGAAGCAGCACTGTGTTACTGCTGCACCAGTTCAGCAGTTCAGAGCTTTGCTGTTCTTGCCATGCCAGGCAATTCTCAGTGGTAGGAGCTTGTGGTGCTGTTCAGGTCTCCTCTCTGGTGCCACATGAGCTCTTTAGAGTCACTTTTCTGTTCCTTATCGAGGTCAGTGCTCGCTCACAGCAGCAGAAGTCCCAGGCTTTTCTTGGCCATCTCTTTTTTCAGCACTTGTTCTGCTTCAGCATCCCCAGTAATGCCAAGGTGTGTGTGAGGGGCAGAGGAGAGGCCCCTGTTCTGTCCTCAGGGATGGACTCTTGGTGATTTCTGTGCCTGTTGGCAGTGGCAGGCCTGCCAAGAGCAGGACAGTGCCCAAATTCCCTCCTTGAATGCCCTGTTTGGGAAGGAGGGTGGTACTTCAATTGTAGCATGTGAATCAAATGGTTTATTCCCAAGGTCTCTTGTGAATGGACCGTTTTTCCTTGCAAGACTCTTAAGGCAGGGATGGATAGGAAGGATTTCTGTGTTGTGGGCCGTGCAGTCAGCTGGCTGTGATCAGCTTGTGATGCTGCAGCGTGTGCTGTGCCAGTCTCTTCTTTCCTCCTGTGCCCAGGAGGGTCGGATTCCTGCATGAGTTGCACTAAAACACAGCTGTGAGCAAATTATATTATTAGTTGAAATAGAAGGGATTTGCTTTTCTGTCCTTTAAACTGATGGGAGCAGAGCTCTCTTCTTAGTGCTTCTGTGTGAGGGTGATGTTTGAGCACCCTGTGTTAGCTGGGAACACCTGAAGTTAAAAATGTGTTTATAGCCTTAAAGTACTTGAGGTATGGAAATCCACTCTCTGATGTCCCCTGCTGCATCTCTGTTAACTTTGGGGCATTACTTACCAGGCCACTTAACCTCTGCCATGTCAGAAGTGGCAAAATTTGGCGTTATAAATGTAGCAAAACAATTTGTTGTTGCAGAAGGTGTGTACCCACTTCTGAATCTCTAATGTAAAACTTCAGGTAAAATCCAAACATTAAAAATCATTGTCTACCCAGTGGTTTTTTTTTTAAGATCTTGTTTCTTTTGATTTGCTGTATATTTTTGTTAGTTTACATTGCAGTGCTTAACTAAGATGTATGAATAGTTTTCATGCAGTAAATCACGTCTATTGGTGATGGCATTCTGCACATTATTTGCAGGAGAATGAATGATTTCATTATATTTGTGGTTATGTGAGTGTTAGATGAGTATTGATGCTAAAAAAGGGCTTGGTTTTTTGAATCTGTTAAAAATAATGTCTTTCTGCAGGTTTTTCAGTTGATACAAGGTAAGGAAGATAAGGACTAATAATTTTATCTTGCTGTAGGTTTTAGTTTGATTTGTACAATTTAAGTTATACTTTGAATCACGACAAAAATCTAAGCTACAGGTGTAGAGGGGAAGGCTAAAGCTAAAACACCAATATTTTGTTCATAGGTATCATACAGTCAATTTTTTTTTTTTTTTTGCAAAACAACAGTCACTTTACCCCTGTTGAAGTTGTCCCTTCCTTAAATTGCAAAGCATAGAAATCTTCTGGCTTCATGTGTTGAATTTAAATCTGCTCTTTATTTAAATGGGAAATTTTTTGTAGTACTACACGAGGTAACAACCAGACCCTGGAGCTCTCTTTGTCTCCCAGGCACTGCTGGTGTGTTGTGAGCAATAATATGGACAAATCTGTGAACATCACCCCTTGGAGAGTCCCAAACCAGTGTTTGGAGTGTGAACAACAACATCTGCAGAACTATTGGTGGGACTCCCCCAAAGCTTTGCTGTCCTCACTGAGACCTTGGTGGTGGTTTGTGGGGACAGAACCTCCTTCTTCACGATGAAATATTTTTTACTCATTCTCTTGAAGGACTTTTTTTTTGAAATCCTTTCATCTTTCCTGCATTTTTATTTCATGTCACTTCAGTCCTTTTGGGTTATATTTAAAAGCAACACAGATGAAAGCAAGTTTTGTTTTGGCTGCCTGTGGAGAAGCCTTAAAGATCCAGGATGATGGGAAGGTTTCTTATGTTAAGCTGTATGAACTCCAAGTGTACCAACTGTCTTCCTGAAAGAATATCTAGTCAGAAACTTGTAGTTCCATGCAAATATAACTGTGAAAAAAGAGACACTATGAAAGGGATGATTTAGCTGCAGATTCCCCAGTTCACATCTCTGATGTGAATATTTTCAACAGCAAAGTTGGCATTGACTGTCACTGAGTTTACTCATGGAGGAATGCTTGGTTTTCAGCTAATCACTAGTGGAACACTGAATTTCCAATGACCATTGCACTAACAAGGAAAACACTGCTAATATGTTCAAGTGGAAATCATTCTGGGTTTCTGTGAGACTCATCTTCCCGTGTTCATCCTCCCAGCCCTTCTTTGCACGTGTTTCAGGTCATCTCTGCACTTGGGTACCTGCCAGATGTCAGCTCGGTAGCCACGGGGAGTTGGTAGGTTGGAGGACCAGCGAGAAGTCAAGCAAAAAAAGCTCTTTTTCATATTTCCCAAAGCCAGATGGCTTGGTGGAGCAGGACTGCCTGGAAGCCTCGAGCACCCACAATGGATAAGTAGCTGTGCAGTTGCCATCCCTGTGAATGTTGTTGGGAGTTACAGGCAGCACTTGGCAGAGATGACTTTGAGCCAGATGCAGTTTGCTGAACAGTGTGAACTGAGCATTTCCAGCTGCCTAACCCATCTCACTCAAAACCCTGCAGAAGGTCTCAATCCTGACATATGAATCTCCTGATATTTTGGGGACTGGGCACGTGCTCAGTGTTAACATTACCTGTTTGCTTCAATTACATGAATATTTCTAGTGGACCTTTGGAAGAGCAGGCTTCTAAAATCCACTTGGGAATCCTGTACTTGAATTGATTTCAAGCCAGATTTTAGTAAGAGCATGCTCTAGATGTGAAAACAAGTTGTTAAACAGTTTGGAGAATATTATTTTAACCTGTTATTAAGATAGATCAGCAGGTATTGTGATTCCCTATAGAAAACAATTTTTCTTACTCTCTGCTTATAAGCAAAAAGACAGTTCTTTTAAGACCTGTCTGCAGTTCAGTGTTATGAAATAACTTCATAGCTGCAGAAATGGAGATGATACTGATCTTGGCTTATAAACCTTGACACTCTCTGTCTTTGCAGATAATGTATTTCAAACTGGTTCCCTTATTGCAGTGTCCTATATTGAATTGCTTTTCATTTATCTGATGTGAATCTTCATAGTTCATCAAAGGGGGGAATGTGAGAGCATCTAATGAAAGAAAAACAATGGCCCTGGGGCCTTTGTTTATTGATGTGTGATTATATCTGCAGGACTAATGATGCTGTGGTCTTCTTGGCCATTTACCTTGGGGACCAAAAAGGTGATTACTTAGCATTAAATATATATATAGATGTGGAGTTTCAAAATGTCTGCCTTGTTAGGAAAGGAATTAAAAAACACATGCTTTAGCTTATTGTGTTTAAATTACTCTGAAGAGCAACTTCAAAGATAGAAGCCAATAAAATATGCAAAACAACATGAACAGTTGAAGTGCAGAACTAAGCTGCGAGCTGGGGTGAAGTCGTGAATTAATTCCAGGTGTAACTTCTTGCAACTTCTCCTGATTCCTTTTCTTACTCTTGCTAATTTTGGCTTTATTTTCCTGCTCAACTGGAGAGGAGGAGGAAAGCTCTGGGGGAGTTGTGTCTGCAGCAGCCTCAGGGCTCACCCAGTCCTGCACAGCAGCCCCACTGTGGGCACAGGCAGAGGTTCATTCTGCTTTCTCATCATTTCCCAGTGCTAAAACTGATGCTCTGTTCTCCCCTGGAAAAAGGTATGTTTTTAAAGCTTCTCCTGAGAATTTAGAGGAAAAAACAACTTTTGAAGGATGGTTGAAGGGGAAGGAAAGCTCTGAATAAAGAAGAAGTTCAAAGAAATGAAACAAGGAGAAGTCCGTGTAAATGCATAAAATTTTTCTCCTTCAGGAGATGAAAGGGCACATTTCAAACAGGGTGTCCAGGGTGAGACCTGGAGACACCACTTGGACTAACTTTCTCTTCTAAGCTTGTAATTCATTGCCACCACAAACAGTGTCTCCTAACTCTGTCTTATTTAAATAGAGAAAACCAAACCAAATCATCATTAAATTCAACCTTTTCCTCCAACCCTTGCAAGCTTGGGCAAAAAAACCCTCAACAAAACAACAAACCACAAATAAACAAAAAACCCACCAAACAAACAAAGGAAATAAAACAAAAAAACTCCAGCCAGAACACTTATAATATGGAGAAACTGTTTGGACATTGAAGTTTGGTTCCTATTCTGTCAGTTTACACTCAAATTTGTAAACAGGGAGGTTTTCTATTTAATTCCTTATTCAAAAGCCCATTTGAGTTTAAAACTAGATCATGTTAAATGTATTTCTTTGTATCAATTCAGGTGTTTTTATTGCTTTCATTTTCATTTTTTCATTTTGTTTTCTCAGTCTGATACAGAAATAAACTGTTAAACCCTCAGGCTCAGCAATGTCATGTGTAAGATTCACACTTCTCTTTATTAGTATTAAGTTTAGGAGACTTATGAAATTGGAAAGCATGATTCTTTCTTTATTTTCCAAAAT